ATATTATAAATTATGTATTTATGATTACAATATTGTAGTTTTTAAGAATTAAAATTTTATTTTATTTTATAACCATCGTTGAACAGCAGACCCAAATTTGGGTTTACGACTACTAATGTTCAACTCCGTAGTCTTGTAATTTCGAACAAAATGCAGAAGACAAGGGAACTCCTGGATCAAATATTGGGAGAAATTTGCCTTCCTGGAGGACATTTTTTGATGGAACTAAACCGCATTTGCATTACATGGAGAGGAAGATCACGAGAACTTCCTACTATTAGCCTTACAGCAAGGGTACTCTAACTCGTAATCTGTCTACCACAAAGGATATTTCACTTCAGCACTGTGGTAGGTGCGAGCCGGGTGCGGAATTTGAATTTCAGCCATCGCTGGGATTACGAACTGCTCTATTCCCTGAGCCACCAATTGAAGAATCCCCAAAAATTGAAGATTTCAAGAAAAACTTAGGTTACTGCACAAACTAGTAACAATTGTTTTTTGCACAATATAGAAAATATACAGAGTGATGATTAATCACCGTCCTTAACGCGTATATTTGAAAAAATCCTTGTTGAAAAAGCCAGTAGAGAAAATATGCACGTTAGGTGTCATAAATTAGTGCTTAAGTAAGGATAAAACAAATCTGAAAGACAAAGGAAAATAAAAGGTACCTGTCCATTTTTACAACAATGAGATTAGATAGCCATCTGTTGCATTTACTAAGTTTTGAAAAATCAATAACGTTAAAAATCGGTGGTCCTTTCTGCGCGCAAAATCATTTTATGGGCATAAACAATTCTTTCTCCGTGGTCTTCAACTCTTATCAAAATTTGGCGACTCACTAATGAGGAAAGCAGGTTTAAAAATATCAATGCCCGAAGAAATTACTAAAAATTATGATTGCATTTACTCCATAGTTCCTTACTAAAATTTATAACTAATATTCACACCAGCAATGAAAATGTAATGACCTAATAGGACCACCTAGGTATACATTAAGTGGTCCGAAATTTTAATATGGTAGACAAACTTCAGAGAAAAGCTTTACAATTACATAATTTTTGTCAAGATACACATTATTAACTGTCATTTATTACATTTTAAAGCTGATAAGGTTCATTACTCCTTAATGATTGAATATTAAAATCAAAAGAAAGCTAAAATAATGTTAGTAAACAGATTTGAAATACAGATTAAATTGTTGAGACCAAATAAATAAATGAAGAAAACGGGAAAAGTAGGAACTAAAATATTTTATCAAAAATTAATTATCTAAAAATTATAGAATTCTAAATATTGTGAATTCTAAAGAGTTAAAAATAATGTTTTACTCATGAACAATTATACTGTCATTACATGAGTGCAAAGCACGGCACCAATTGCAAATTTGAAATTTCAACATTTAAATTTAAAAATATTTGTACAAAACATTTTCTGTTATTCCTTTTAAAACATAAATGAACTAAAATCTGATCTACTCGTAGAATAATGAAATTAGTACAATAATTTTTGTAAATGCAAACTAATAATTAATTATAAATTAATAATAAAAATTATAATTATTAATTAATTAATAATTAATTAGTACAGCAACTTTTTTTAAAAATTCGAATCAAAAAACTATTTTTCGCTACTATATTTTGTAACTTCCAAACTTATTTCACGATTACAATTTTGTCGCCCATGCGTATGATTTTAGCAACAATTATAGAACGTATGGCGACAATTTTCGTCATAATGATGTGATCCCCAATTTTAACAAGTAATCATGATTTGATGTAATGTTAAACAAAACAAAACAAAAAGGAAAGAATCTTGCTTTACACAATAATTCGACTTATCAAAGGAAATTTAAAAAAAAAAAAAAAAGTGCTGTTTAGTATTAATAAAAGCGATTTTTCTGCTTCCAGCAATGTATTATGAAAGATTGACAGCTCGATAATGTCACATGAATTTTTCATCCATTTAGTTCGGTGACAGAGGATGAAATTTATAATTTCCTTAGATTAATATAAGATAATCATGGATGATAATTTTTCATTACGCGCGAAAAAAATTTGCTGATATGCGCGATGATTCTTATAAAAACAGATGGCCAGCTTCAGATTCACTTAAACAAAAACACTGAGTAGTTTTTTTCGTCTAAAAAAAAAAATGTTTTGTTTTGACCCGTATGTCAAGCGCAGGTCTGTTTAGCAGACCCCACGTGTTTACGTTATCTCTGACTCACAACAGTTAGCTATAAAATAAACAGTTTTATATCAGGAGAAAAAATTTTGAAGGTTGAAAAAAATCGTGAGAGAATTGACTCTCTTCCTGATTTTCAAATGGAGTTTACGAACGATGAAAAAGTTATACGTTTGAAGCAGGACTTCTCGCACTCACTCATTTCAGTTCGGGTCGGTTTTTCACATGGAAAATTTACATTTTTAATCTTGATTAAAAACAATCATAATTTAAGATAATTTTAAGCTTGATTATAAACAATTATAATTTTAAGCTTGATAATTCAAGATAATATTAATCTTGATTGTAAAGAATCATAATTAAAGATCATAATTCTAATCTTGATTATAGACGATCATAATTTAAAATTATAATTTTTATCTCGATTATAGATAATTATAATTTAAGATTAAAATAATAATATTGATTATAAACAACCATAATTTAAGATTATAATTGTAGTAATTGTAATTACACCTAAATTGAACAACGGTTGTACGCAAAAATGACCCTATGGTAACAAATGATGATAATTATATATAATTTTGATAACACAAATAGTTTTATTCATAAACAGTTACAGTAATTGCATGCAATTCAAGACAAAACCAGATTAAGTAAAATCGCAGTCAATTACGATTTGTCTAACTATGGTATGTAAATGTAACATGTTACATCAGTACTCCCCAACTTTTTTAATGCAGCTGACCGGTCACTAATTTACAATCCAGCGGCTTTTAACGACTCGCTTTTTAATTTTATTTTTTTAAGATCTTGGCTGCTGTTGGTTCCAATTATAATACAAAGTTTTATTTCTTTTAAAATTTCTTCATCCGAACTAAGACAATGTCTTGCCATTGTCTTAGTTAATCATTTTTTATTATTTTTTTTTAAAAAAAATTACTAAATAAGGGAACGGGTCGTTAAATTTCGCAGGATTGGCAAATTCGCAGCCAGGTCAACGTTTGATAATTTTATCATACTATAGGTATCATAATATGCGCATCATAATATAGGTCACAAATATACATATCATAATATAGGTCATAAATATAGGTAGTTCAAATAAAGATTATCTTATCAAATATTCAAATGTAAGATTGCAGCCAATCAACAGTAACGTATCAAATTAATAGTGCAAAAGTATTTTTTTTAATCGAATGTAGCATTCGAAAGAAGAAAAAAAAAAGAGTTGAGTGCGGTTATGCTGCTCCAAAAGTAAACAAGTACTCAAAGAAACAAAATAAGAGGATGCTAAAAACTTTGTCTAATGTAACAAAAAGAAAAAAAAAGAGAAAGGAAAAATCAGGAAACAAACTTTTGAACTTTGTCGATGTGCTAGGCATTAAAGTGCATTGTAAAATACAGAATATTAAAAAGGGAGCAAATCAGTCAATCTGCAGCTAAACTAGTTAATATACACAGTAACGGCTTTCGAGATTTAGTTGTTACATAGCAACCAATAATGAAATTTAACTTTATATTAACCAATAGTAAAGTGCAATAACATAGATCCATAATTTAAAGTTCGGCCTAAAGGAAGCAGAATCTTAAAAATAAACACAAAATTTAAAATTTTTTTAATAATAATATGTTGAAAAGATAATTTCACATTTTAATTAGCAATAAAAACGCATTGCTTATAGTTTGACTAGTCGAAATATCTGCATATTTCTTTCAAGTAGTAATTACAAAAGTAATTTTTTTTTATTTTTAATAGGCCTACGTCATTTTTTGCAAATTTTCTTTTCATGTACGGTGGGCAAAATATTATTCGATGATATATGGATATTCAATTCGATGTAGTGTAGAGACATATTTTTTTATTATTCTCTTAAAAATTTTAATTTCTACATACATTTTTATGTATTCCAGTAATCGCCCCGTTCTACATTCTTTAATTTATGAAAGAGATGACTTGAAAAATATCTTGATTGTCAAGATCTCTTTTTAGCTCTATCATGCCACTTATAAAATTAATTAGTTAAAAATATTTCCTTTACACTTAACATTTTTAATATTTTAAAGAAACTTAATACTTATTTAAATATAAGATGTTAATTATAAGCATAATTTGTTTATATTTCGCACTGAAATAATTAAACCCGGTCAAATGACAAGATAGCTGTTTATTTCCGGATTTTTTGTATTTAGTTTTTATTAGTTAACGTTTTCGAATACTTAGCCATTTTAAACCCGTTATTAAAGAATAACTATTCCCAATGCACTGTAATGACATAAGACTTAGGTCACGTAAATTACACACACACAAAAAAAAAAAAAAAAAAAAAAAAAAAAAAAAAAATGGAGCATAAAAATATATACCCTTTTCTACCTTATTCGTTGGATAAAAAAAATTTTGTTCCAGTTTTTTTTTTACTTTTTTCAAATTAAGAGTAGTTATTAAGTAACTTATAAATTAAAATCTTGTCTAAAAGTACTTCGCTTGCTAAAAACACTTCCAATATTTCAATAAAATTTTTATAAATATTTTCATTTAAAGAGTAAGTTATCTGCAATTTTTTTTCACTCTTTGAACTAATGTAAAGTAATCTAAAATAAAGTGGCACAAACACATAAGTCGAAATAATTGTTTACTTATTTCTGCACTCTTTTCCGTTCAGATAAATAAATCGTTTTCAAAAATCTTATCAATTCAAACCTTGATTTAAAAATCCAAATGCACTGCAACTGCAAAAATAATGCATCATAATTTTGCCCACGATTTTTTTTTAAATGGGGCAAAATAAAAAAAAATACTCACCCCTACTCACCTCATTGATGGGGTAAAAAAAGTTTTTGTAGGAGCTTCTTTTCTTGGTGCACAAAAAAAATTCTTCAACCACTCTCCGCTGAGTATTTGCACTTTCTACTCACTACTAGGATGGAGGAAGATCTAGCGTACTACGAAATGGGGGGTGGGGGTGGTGCAAAAAAAAGTAAAAAAATAACTATAACTTCTGAAAACCCGCAGACGATATTTTCTGTAAAGATATTGTGATTGCGCACAATCACAGCGCAACTTTTCCCGCCAGTCGAGACCGAGTCATAGACTGTCCGGCATGTGCGGAACACGCACGCGCGAGGTGATTTGTTTTTGTTCGAAAGGGGGTGTTTCTGTCTTATCTTTCATCTCAAGAATTGTTGAAAGAAGGGATGAAGAAGGCCCCTAATACTAGTGAGAAATAAAATTGAAAAAAAATTGCTATAAATGACTGTTGAGTGGAAATGATTTATCTTTCATGGTTGATTAGATTGGTTGAAAAGAATTAGAACATGGCATAATTACCGTTCTTTCTATTTATTTTTGAAAATTTTATTATTTGCAATTATATTTTATCAATGTAATCATTTATATGCAACGTATGTCCATTATAGAATTAATTGTGAAAGGGAAATAAAGGTTTCATTATAATTTTTTGTATTTAACTGTATTAATATTGTGCCTCTATGGGGTAAACTGGTTTTAATACTTTTTTTAACTTAAATTCAAAAGATGAGTAAGTTTAGAAAAAGATTTGCGATTTTACAGTAACTAGTGTATTTGCCAATTTTTCCTTTTCCAAAAATGCACTTTTTCGAAAATGCAACTTTAAATTACCAATTAAGTTGCTACGTAAGTTATAGAAAATAATTTTTCTTCCCTAATTTTAGTTTTAGAGCTTTCGTAAATTGGAAAATTATCACATGTAGGAAAAAACATTTATTTTAAGGTGTTGATTTTATGTCCTAATTGGACGCTATACAGAGGGAGAAACTCTTTATGGTAAATTCTTTTTCATTTGCATAAGTAATTTAAAATTAAAAACACAGAAAAATTTAGTTCATAGAAACCTAAAGTAAACCGGAAGTTTCAGAGTTTTTTTTTTTATTTTAGGATCAAGAGCAAATGAAATGCGATAGGATTATTTTTCCATAATTTGTATGAATTTTTGATATTTTGAGCAAAATTTTTCTCAGCATTTTTCTCTCTTCTTGAGAAAATTTTTCTACATTTGAAATTTCTCGATTTACTACAAGTTTTTCTTGAACTTGCTTTCTCTAAACTTTAAAAGGCTTTTTTGTAGATAAAAGCAAATTACGTAAAACTGCGTCCAATTTGCAGCCTCAGTGAAAATAATTCATGCAAAATGAAACTTCAAAAATTATAAAGCAATTTTTAAGTTCACGCTATTTTTAAAGAATTTGTTTGGCGATGTGCGTGAAACATATTTAATAAATAATAATAGCGCCGAAATAATATAATAGCGTTGAAATTAGAAAAAATAGCGCTGCAATACCATACAATCTGCACTCTGCATTTTTCACGGAAATGATAAACCAAATTATTGAACTATTAACTAAAACTAAACTCAGTGGTACAACAGCCCATAGAGGGCCAAGGCCTACTGAGCCAATCTCAGTTTTCTTGACCTTGGGCTCTGGGGTGCAGGAGCAGATGTTCCGGTTAGGTGGTCAGCCAAACGCGGAACCCCCAGTGTTTAGTTCCCAAGCATGCTTGGTACTCATTTATCGACCCACTGAAGGGATGAAAGGCTGAGTCAACCTTGCCCGGCCCGATGATCGAACCAGGGACCTGTGGCACGACAGCGCGAAGCGCTACCGCTCAGCCACAGAGCGTCTGAACTATTATCTAAAGTCATTAAAATTGATATGGTAATACAATAGTAGCAGCTTTGAATCCCAAAGCCATAATATCAACAAAAAAAAAAAGAATCCTGCAAGTGGTGATCCAGACTTCTAAAAAAAAGTAGACAGCTTATTCGGCGTTAGTCCCAGCGATATTGATAAGTACTGTCGGGTTGTGTTTCCTGTTTGCTTTGTTTGTTTTAACCTCATGTATTGGATTATCTACTTGCACATCAGTGATACTATAAAAGAGGAGTGTGTGTCTTTGGGCTCGCGTTAAGGGTACCAGAGTTAACAAATCTTGAAGAGAAACAAACACAACATCTGGACTTTCATAGAAGAAAGTCAATCTTCCACAAAATTCTGTTTTCAGCAGGACAATGCCAGACCACATTCCTTTACACTTAACATTTTTNTTTTTTACCTCCATTGGTTCCGAGAAGTCATTTTGGATTTTAACTTTCTGCATGGTCTTACACAGTGTAAGTGTGGTGAGTCGAACAAGCTTGTCCGGGATATTGAATTCTCGCATAGCTTCAATGAGTCGCTTCCGGTTTACACTGTCGTAAGCAGTTTTGAAATCCACAAATAGGTGGTGGGTGCACGAAAGGTGGTGGGTGCACTTGCACATCAGTGATACTATAAAAGAGGAGTTTGTGTCTTTTTGCTGGCGTTAAGGGTACCAGAGTTAACAAATCTTGAAGAGAAACAAACACAACATCTGGACTTTCATAGAAGAAAGTCAATCTTCCACAAAATTCTGTTTTCAGCAGAACAATGTCAGACCACATACGGCACGTGTTGCTATGAACTGTCTGCAAGCTTGTCAAACTCTTCCTTGGCCTGCCAGATCACTAGATCTCTCTCCCATCGAGCATGTCTGGGATATGATGGGAATTGCATCTGGCACGGAATGTTGATGACCTCGTTCGACAATTGGATCAAATTTGGCAGGAAATACCGCAAGAGATCATCCGGGAGCTTTATCTGTCTATGCCACGCCGTGTGGCAGTTTGTATCCAGGCTAGAGGCGGGTCAACACCTTATTGAACTTGTTACTGTAACTCTGCAATAAATCATTCAATTGTTTTGAAATTTTAATCATTTACTATTCTGTTCATTGTCTTCCTATCCACCAATTTTCGTTTCAATCGGACAACTTCTTCTTGGTGCGTCGAATTTTTTGTTATAGAGTGTAGTTACGATTGTAAAGGAAGTCAGCAAATTTTTACAGAATTGATGTCTATTGGAAATTGTAAACAAAAAAAATTCGCATCATATAGCAAGCCGATGTAGCAATTGGCTAAAAGCAGATATAAGTCACTAAAGATGATTAATTCAATTCGTCCAAAGCAATCTTAATACGTAGGTGGTATAAGATAATCGCTCAATGCACCTAGTGGCCAAGATGCAAAATTATCTTCTTTTTTATTTATTTTTTTTACTGTAGTTTTTATAATCACAATAAAAATTATACCTAATCTCTGCAAAATGTTTGTTTTGATTATGTATTTTTTGAGTTCATTAGCATACATTTTACATACTAAATAAAATCCTATATGCACACGTGTCTTCTGGGTGACGACTGTGTGGTTTCCGTGTCCGGGTGGTCACTTGCTGTGACAAAACCACCAATTTCGTTTATTCACAGCAACAACGGCACTTCATCAGGGGACACATCATACATCATTCACTGCATCACATTGAGTTTTCATTTTTATACATCATTCACTGCATCACATAGAGTTTTCATTTTCATTCATTATTCACATCATCACATTGAGTTATCTTTTTCATACATCATTCACTGCATCACATTGAAATTTCATTTTCATACGTCATTCACTGCATCACATTGAGTTATCATTTTCATACGTCATTCACTGCATCACATTAAGTCATCATTTTCATTACATCATTCACTGCATCACATTGAATTACCACTTTCCCACATCACATAGCATATAATTTTCCGATTCAACTCTCGAATCATCGCTTTCCTGTCAAACGCGAAATTATCGCTTTCCTGTCAAACGCGAAATTATCGCTTACCTGTCTAACACGAAATTATCGCTTTCGTACATCATGTAGAAAATTATTTTCTGCATTATTGCATTTCACTGAAGACAGGAGAGAGCTGTCTATGGACTGAGAATATTTTTAATAAATCTAGGTTTCTTTCTAGAAAAAAACAAAGCTCTTAATTTACAAAACTCTTGTCAGGCCAGTCTTGACATATGCTTTTGAAGATTGGACAATGACAAAACTTGTTTCGCATTGTTTTAGAGAAAGATTTTGCCGAGTATACTTGGTGGTGTAAATGAAAATAATAACTGGATAAAGATATTTAACTTTGAACTGTACAAGATTATAAACAACCTGATAGTATTAAATACATAACAATAAATAGAATGAATTGGACGGCCCATGTGATTCGAATGAGTGATGTCAATTAAAAAAAAGCTATTGCTTTCTAGTCCCACTGGAACAAGAAAGCGGGGAAGGCCGTGGTTGAGATGGGCTGGTTCGGTGGAGTTTGATTTTCTTGCAATTAGTAAAAAGACTTGAGAGATCAAACATAAATCGGTTGTCGTTATGGAGAAATCTTCAAAGGAAGGCGTTGGCCCACATTGGGTTGTCTGGCCAACTTTCTGGAAACTTTCCTGTATTAAATCCAGCTGGTTGTTCATCACATGATTGTTTCGTCAGTTCTTTAGCTTTACCACTAAACCTATTGACTGAGGTCCTTATTGAGCCTATTGACCGTTATCCTAGATATTGTCCTATTTTTAGGACATTTTCTTTCTTTAAAATAAAACTATCTTTCCGAAATTTTTTTTCAAAATGCTTAAATTTTGATTAGTCCCTAAAATTCTTATGATTTTAATATCTCTTCCACTAAATAATTTATCCGTGCCCCCAATAACAGCAGAAAAAAAATAATAATTCTCAGGCAATAAATTATAATATAAGAAATGTCGTATTTGTTCGGGAAAACATTGGGCTCTCATCCAAAATATTCTTCGAATATACCATCATCTGACTCAGACGATAGTCCGGAGAAAACTTAGTCTGGTCGTTTTTATTTCTTTTGTATCGATTGTGCAGCAGAAAAGTTTTTTGAGCCTCCCCCTCCTCCGAAAAGTAACCGGACAAGACATAAGAATGTGTTTTCCTCCGTATGTCATTTTTCTCTATTCATATGCAAAATTGCGCCAAGGAAGGTGCCAAAAGTGGGAAGTGTGCCATGACGTTTCAGTGCGAAGTTCGTATGAAATTAAAATATTCGAAATGAAAAGTTATTTAGAAGAGATAAACAATTTGTGACTTTTAGACATGATTACAGATTTGCATTTTGCAAATTAAAATATAAACGGAAAACGTAGGAAATGAGAGTGAACATTTTCACACTTTCTTTAAAGTATTTCTAATTACCAAAAACTATGAAATTGTTTGGAAATTCTGAAATTAAAAATGTTCCATTTTGTAAATAGAACACAATTTAAGAGGAGATTTTCTTGATTTTGTTTTCTAGTGTTTATTTACGACCTGATATAAGCTCATTTGGTGTATTTTGAATTTAAAAATTTTTTT